GCTAAGAGCCCACGGTGCTAGGGGCTGTACATTTCAGTGGTTGAGGTGTATCATGGTAGCACCCAGGACCCCCTCCAGCCACAGCCCAGGGGCCCGTTATGCTATGGGGTGTACGCTATTAGGTGGACTACGGTAGTGCCGCAGAGCCCCTGGGCCAGGACCCCCGGGACTAGGCGCTGCACGCTGCTAGCGCTATTAGGTGTATTACGGTACCTCTTGGGCAGCCCTGCACCAGGGCCACGCGCCTTCCTCCTCCCTTACACCCCCCCCCCACGCCGGCCCCGCGCCCCCTTTCAGCCCCCCCAGCCCCGCGCTCCCTCCCCCCGACTCACCATCCTCCCGCTCCGGCCGCGCGGGCCTCGCCGCTCAAACCGCCTCCGCCGCGGCCCCGAGCCAATAAACTCCGAGCGAATCCGGGGCCGGCCCAGTCCTCAGCGCCAGCCGCAAAGCGACAGCCGCCGTTTTACGACGGTGCCGCAAAGGGCGGCGGGCGCCAAGGGAGGAATGGCGCGGGGCGTCCGCATTACCCACAACCCCCCGCACCTCCAGGCGCCTGCATGACCCACAAGCCTCTGCGCGGCGCTCCAGCTGGCCGGGGGGGGGCTCAAACTTTTGCGCTGGTGACCCCGTGACCCAGCGAGCCTGGGAGTGTCACCCCCCCCGTCAGTTAAAATCCCGTTTATGTATTTAACACTCGCGCCCCCCGAGGGGCCCCGAACCCCGGATGGGGAACCCCAAAGCCCCGCCCAGACCATATGCCAGTGCCCCGCTCCTGCCTGTTCTGCGCACCGCCCCCCCTGCCCCCCCCAGGCTGGTAGGGCTCAGTCCAGCTCCCCGGGGCTGCTCTCCCTTCCATGGGCGGCCCCCATTGTCTGAGCATCTCGTGTCCCAGCCCTGCTTAGAGAGCTAATCAGCACAGCGGTTAAAACTGTGGCCATCAACCACAGCTCCTCTGTGATGGAGCTGAACCGTCACGGGAAACAATGAGAAACTTCAATCATCTCTCCCATCTCGTTTCCTTCCAGTCCTGTCTCTGCCAGTGTTTACAGGGCACTATTGTTAGCAACCGGGCTCTGGGCAGGGGCAGACGTCCACCTTCTCAGAGCTTATTGCAGGACTCAGGCCTACATTTCCTAGTGTCCATCCAGCCTTCCTATCTCCTCTCCTCCCAGTCTCCTGAACATTAGCCATACAAAGAACAGGAGTACTTGTGGCCCCTTAGAGACTTTGTTAGTCTCTAAGGGGCCACAAGTACTCCTGTTCTTTTTGCGGATACAGACTAACACGGCTGCTGCTCTGAAATTAGCCATACAGTACTGCATTTTAGTAGCAGGCTCACAAACTAGAAACCCAGAAACGAGGAACTATGCCCCCTAGTGTCCATTTCTCTTTCATCTTAAAACATTAGATTAGGTTATTGAATGAGTAATGCTACCCCAAAACCATTCACTTACATGACCGACAAAGGGTCAGGTGAGAATTGGACACACTGCATCCCTTTAGTTCTTTGAGGGCTGCACATACATCCTTCAAACACTGAATTGCCAAAGCTGTTTATTAGCATATCTCCCAGTGAACTATTTAGCCCCTTTATTTATTTATTGGAACACTATTAGCAACTTTCTGCTTACTGCGGATGCATTTGGCCAGTCTCGATAAGTTAAGTGATGTTTAACCATGTTAAATAGGTGTGAAATTATTAGTGAAATTATAGAAGCTATCAAATTAAGATCTAGTGTGGATGAAATACAGTGAATATTATTTTTCTTAATGTATTATTCCCAGTATTATATTTTATTTCATTACATCTTTTCAGACTTATTTCTATCTTTAATGGCCTGTTCTCTTCATCAAAACAGCCACTTAATTGGGAAAATATGTTGTCCAACTAAAAGTCCCCATTGAGAAACTTCTCCTATACTGTAGATCACCCTAAATATGTATTTGTTTGGCAGGTGGTCTGGAAAACTTGTAAAATGCAAACTGTTGATACAGTGTCCATCTTCAGAATTAACAACAGTATCATGGAAGTCTCCTTCCAGTAAAGAAGTATAAAGGTTTATACTATAGCTTAATAAATACCCATGGATAAATGACAAAAATCTGATAAAGAAAACCAGTGGGTTTTCTTTTTGCATAATAAAGCCTGATAAAGCAAGATGCTGAGCTTATGGGAGTTAAGAATGCTCAGTACCTGCAAAATGTATAAAAACCCAAATTTCCTTGTTATTTCAAAAAGATTATGAATCAAAGCCTTGTGGAATAAAACCAAGATTGAAGCAAGCTGACCTGGAGAGAGAAGGGGGGTGGGCGGCTCCATGGTTAGCCAAAGCTAAACTATGTTTCCCACCACTCCATCATGAAACTTTCACTGTAGCAACCAAGAAAGATTACATTGGAGTTTGGCAAGAACCAGACTTAGCCTGCAAAGCTAGTCAGCATGAAATGCCATTATTACACTAAACCGTATCTCCACTGAGGTTTATTTATTTTATTATACTCATGGCTAGGCTGCTATAATTGGCTGGCATGGTTCACCCGTCCCCAGTGCCTGCCCCTTTTGCAGTGAGGTAGACCCTAGCACACGCCTACCTTGAGTGCACCAGGTTGCAGCCCCTTTTCCAGCTCCTCCTAGACTTACTTTTGTGTTTTTGGCAGCACTTCTCGCCCCACTTTCTCATATATGCACACCCCATCCGTGGCCCCACAAAGTCACGGGACCTCATTGTCAACCTCCTCCTAGCAATGGCCAAAGTGGCCATCTACAACACCAGGGAGAGGATGCTGGCTGAGGGGGTGCTCTGCAACTGTGGGACCTATTTCCGATCCTCTCTCCACTCACGTATCCAGGCAGAGTTCCTCTGGGCAGCATCCACTGGCTCCCTTGACACATTCAGTGGGCGCTGTCCGGGGTTCTCTGAGTGTCCCCTTCAGGTTCCCTACTTTTGACCCTTTGACCCTCACACCTGTCCTTGTTTTTTCTTTTGTTGTCCCCCGTATTTAATTGAGTCCCAGGCTCGGTGGACCCTCCCCGTAGGTTAGGGGAGGGTTCTTTAGCTTCTGACCACCCACTTCCCAGAACCCAACAGGATGGTTCACCCAAAACACCTCACCTGGTTTGCAGGTGTTGATCCTGCAGCTAAAGGGTTAAGTGGGCTCTACCGACTCACTGAGGCAGGTGGTTCACTTCCCACCAGCATATAAGGGAAGTAAGAGTAACACTTTCTTTCTTTCAAAGAGAAAGTTTAGTATGTGAGCAAAGCCGTCCTGATGTAAAATCCCCTACCAACAGGCAAGTCTACGAAAATGTTTGAGGTGAACTTTATTAAATTCTTTGTTAATAAAGGTAAAACCCTGAGGGGATAACTTGGCTTGACATTGTGGACTTTGGAATGTGGCTTAGAGTAGGTTGAGAAAGGCATATCCAGGCCTATCAGTGTGATATGTGGGTGCATTTTACATGGCTTATGATGGTTTATTCCCATCTCCTAATAAGATTGATCATGTTCCCCTTTAATTTTAAAGAAAGGGACTTAGCATTTAGCCAACCAACTAATTCAGGACTTAAAATTCCCTTGATTGCTTGGACAGAGACATTTTGTATTTCTCCTTAAAAGTTGTGACCATGGTAATTTCCTTATGGTGACAAAAACTGAACGTCAGCACACACAGATGGATAAATATTCAAGAATTTACCTACAAATGCAATCAATGACTAGGTGGTGTCACATCATCTAGCACAGCAGTAACAATAGCAGACCCTGTTGATACTGTAATTCCCATACTCTAGTACAGAGGTGGGGAAGGGGAAGAAGCTCAGAACAAAGCAAAAATGGGTCTGATGAGAATATCCAACCTTGCCAGTGGTCACCCCAACCATCACTCAACTCCATTACATGGGTTGGTTTGGTGTATGTAGACACACCTTTCTGCTGGTTCAGGTTATGTTTTATCCTTTATAGCCAAGACAAACCCTTGGATTTCAGTAACTGGCTTTGTTTTCAAACTCCCTGGCATGTATGGAAATCAAATAGCAGCTCAAAGCACCATTTTTAGTGCCTTCCTTGTTAAATTCTTAGTTATGCCATCGCTAGTGGTAAGATGTTGTTAAACTAAAGGTACTGGAGGGATGAGGGGAACATGCAGTGAAGTTACCAGTGCACTCTGTACCACTGCTTATCAGCATTCCAGTTAGTAGGAAAAGCAAGAGAGTCCAAGTTCATTCATGAGGCCCATGTGGGATTTCATCACGAGAAGCTCAAAGGTTCAAGTCCATTGAAAGGGCACATCATAAGGTGTGCCTGAGGCAACGCTGAAATCAGGAGGGGGCAATCTTAGCCTGCTAGGGCCATAGGGCTGAGTGTGGAATCAGGCTGTGTAGGGTGTCTCAGCCCTGGGGGCTGGAGAGAACCGGGGGGGGGGACTCTGCCCTAGGGGCTGGAGAGAACGGGGGGGCTCTGCCCTGGGGGCTGGAGAAAACGGGAGGGAGGCTCAGACCTGGGACTGGAGGAAACGAGGGGGGGGGCTCTACCCTGGGGGCTGGAGAAAACGGGGGTGAGGGGCTCAGACCTGGGACTGGAGAGAACGAGGTGGGGGGGCTCTACCCTGGGGGCTGGAGAGAACGAGGTGGGGGGGGAGGTTCTACCCTGGGGGCTGGAGAGAACGGGAGGGAGGGGGCTCTGCCCCGGGGGCTGGAGAGAACGGGGTGGGTGGGGGGCTCTACCCCGGGGGCTGGAGAGAACGGGGGGGTATCACAGCCGGGGGCTGGGCATTGGGCAGTTCGGGCCCGGGGGGGCTCAGCTCTAAGGGGTCCGGGGCAGGGCTCAGCCCTGGGGTGCGCGCAGGACACTCAGCGACCGGGGAGCACGCGAGCCCACGTGACCCGCCGGCAGCGGGAGCATAAAGAGCAGTTTCCGGTTTGTAACCCCAGACCTGACGGAAGTGTCCGGCTAGGGCCGCTCTGCCCCATGGGCGGCCCGCTCTATGCTCCTGGGCGGCTGCGAGCGGCGGGCGCGGTCACGTGGGGGGCGGGGCGCGGGGCGGCTCCCAGTCACTCTCCGGGCGGCCGCGGGCAGGGTCGGAGCCGAGATGGAGCCTCCCCGGCGGCCGGTGGTGGTGACGGGTAAGCGCGGGGCAGGCGGAGTGCTTCTCCAGCCCGGTTCGCGCGGGAGCTCCGGGGCTGAGGCGAGGTGGTGGCTCGTGGGGTGGTGGGGGGGTTGGTGGAGCTGCGGGGCTGAGGCGAGGGCTCTGGGGTGGTGAGGGGGGGTTGGTGGAGCTGGGGGGCTGAGGTGGGGGCTCTGGGGTGGTGAGGGGGGGTTGGTGGAGCTGGGGGGAGCCTGGGGGGCTGAGGTGAGGTGGGGGGATTTGGGGTGGTGAGGGGAGCCCAGGTGGGTGGGGGAGCCTAGGGCACAGGGGCTGTCCACTGGAGGGCAGGAGGCTGCCTGGGCAGTCCAGTCCTGCTGCTTTCTCAGCTGGGGGGTGGCCCTCACTTTTCTAGCCTGGGCTCCCTGCTCAGGGTCTTGCTGCAGGTTTGGGGAGCAGGGAGAATAATCTTGTGAATTACAAGTAAATTCACCCAAAGCAGCATGGGGAGCTCTGGAAAGCTGGTGAGTGTGAAGAGACGTTTACACCCAGGCATGCGATCCACTGGGGACATGAAGCCAAAAGTTTGACCAAAATAACTGTCCCTAGGAGAGTAAAGTGGAAGCGAGAAAGCAAGTGAAGGAATGAAAGGCCCTTACATAGCAGGCGAGAGCTTGTCAGAGTCTTTTCCTAAGTTACAAAGGGGAGGGTAGCTTGATTTGTGGGGAAGGCAGCTCTGTGACAAATGAGGAACTCGATGAAACTATTCAGTGCTCCCCGTGCAGCTGAAGTTGAGATTGTTTGCCTTGGGAAGGCAGGGGAGGTGGTAAGGAGTTTTGTTGATGCACTGGAGTGATTTGAATTGGAGGCAAGTGTTTCTACAAGGTATCTTTACAGAGATCTGGGAAGGTGGCAGTTTGGCTTTGTCAACCCAGCCAGTGTATGCAGTGAAGTGTCAGCATCCACCACTCATCGATTCCTTGATCAAAGGCCTAAAAAGAAAAGTTGTGTTGGTAAAGTTTCCACGTCTTGCAGCACTTTCTGCTTTGGTCCTACACATCTATGGAGTCCAGTTTTGACAGTCAGACGTTAACTTGCCTTAGACCCATGTTTACCACTGGGGTAATCTGTGTACAGCTGTCATGTTCACTTTTTAAACTCTTTTTAAAAGTCTGGGAAATTATTTCTTCCGCCTCCTTCTGTTGGCGATATGCACTCCGCAGGTGTGTGTGTGTATATACTTTTTATTGTGTAGAACTGTTTAAAGAGAGAATTCCATAAAGATCTTTGCAGCTGGTGGCAGCTGTTTTAGTGCTAATTAGCCTTGGAGGAGGCCCCTTCAGTGTGGATGTCAGAGAAGTCCTGGACATGCTCAGTTGAGTTATCTTCCATAAAGGACATAGGACAAGAGAAGGAATCCCTGTACACCTTGAATAGTGGGTCAGAAGAGGAAAAGGCCAGTGTGGCCTGTGTGGGGAACAGACACAGAATCACGAGTGCTAAGCTACACTGTGAGCACCTCTAGAATTGCTACTGAGCAGGGAATTTGGTTTGTAGCTGGACTTGTTACAGAACTCAAGAAATGCAACAGTCTGGATTATGAAATGTTTCTGGTCATCTTTGGATAGTAGTTTCTTTTAGAGTGTCATTGAGTTGACTGATAAAATGATTTGTCAGCATTGTGCTGCGTTTCACTATTTGCTGGTATGCTACTGTCTGTTAACCTTTATCTTATGGAGGTTAGACCTGCATGAATAGGACACCTTCATGTCAGTCTTGTGGAAAGCTTAACGAGATTTTTTTTTTTTTTTTTTGTAGAACTGAAATGTGAGTTTGACACTGGTTAGATTATATATGGAGTTTTTTTTGTTTTGTTTTTTAATAGAATTTCTGTTTGAGCGCAGAGAGAGCTAATTACTAGTATAGCTGTATACAATATAACCTGAAACCTATTCATAGCAAACTGAATACTATCATAATAATGACAACGTTTTTTATAGCCCTATGGCATTTCCTTTAGCTGAACAAGACTTCTTGTGTGTTTTCACAAGCACTCTAGGGTCACAAATCAATTCTGAAAGTTAATTTAAACTATAGTGGTATAACTTTGCATGCAACTGGATTGCCTAACTTTTGTGGTGGTATAAGAGTGAGGAAATGCTTGCTCAGTAAAAACTATTGAGGGTTACTAGTTAACCATAAGTTATTCATTAGAAAATTTAGACTCCATGCAAGTATTTTGTATAGAACTATCATAACCTTTGGTGCTTATTTGTACAGGGACCACCAGCAGTATTCTGTTTAGCTTCCTGTTAAAATATAACGATAATAATGGAAATCTTAATTAAGACTTGTTTAATAGAGAGGAGATACACTTAGCAGACCTACTAATTTGCTTATATATTTGTAGAGGGCTTTGTTGTGGATCTTGACAGTTTTGGGACGGGATGATTTCAACTGGGAACGAAGAACAGAAAATTTGTAACTTTTTTAGAGTGTTTTTTTTTTTTTCCCCAGACCATATCAGAAGAGGGAGGGAGTTTTTATTTAGACAACCTATTGAATCGGAATCTTCAATATTTTGTCTATTTTTGATGTTATATTATGTAAATTGTATACTTTTGGATGGTTCAAAGGATTTGAGTACTTGGATGTAAACGAGCAAGAATTTGGTATTCAAAGAAATCATTGTATTGTCTATAAGTAGTTTCCCATGGGCACATTTAAAACAGAAAAGCACAAATCAGTTTGCACCTCTGTGTCCAGTCAAGCCTGTGGTAATGATTTCATCACTAAATCTTTATTTCTATTTCAGGGTTTGGCCCATTTGGAGAACATGCTGTTAACGCCAGCTGGATTGCAGTTCAGGTAACAACACAAATTAAAACACACGTGGCATGTTCAAAGAAAGTGCTGTGCTGATGTGTCCCCTTTTTAAAAAAAAGTTAGAATTTGTGAATCTATTATAGAGCCTTGCAGAAATTGTTCCTGAAATTTATCAGTTGAGACCCACCCACCCTGATGATCAATCCGTTTATATATTTTATTCACTCATTTAAAAAATGAGTTCTGGACAAGTCAAATTTTGCAAGGCTGAGTTAATGTAGTTAAGCAAAACAAGGAATTCCCAGGATAACTCTATGAACATTGTAGAAGTTTTCCTGTTATCTTCCCCCACAGAGGGGAAAGAGGTAGATTTTTATAATTCCTCAAAAATAACCTGAAATCTTCCTTGGTGGTTGCAGTGTGCAATGGAGTGAGCACAGGTTTTGGTTTAAGAAATGCATGAGTTCTGATCCCAGTTCTGCCATGAATAATGGCCTTGGGCAAGTCACCTAACCTCTGAGATTTCCCCGTTGTGAATGAGGGTAACATATAACATCCCTGTGGAGACAGGTACAGAACGAGAATGGTTTTTAAAGCACTGCTATTTATTGATGAGGCACAAACTGCTCTCAGATCAAGTCATTACGTAGGACACTTATGCCATTCATCGTCTGCATACCTTCATAAGCATGTGTTCTTACACTCCTCTCACTGTGTACTCTTACAACACCTGATATATTCACACTAGATGTCAGCAAGAAATCAAACTCTCGCTAACGGTGAATTAAGGTATTCTGCTTGTTTTGCAATATCCCATAACAGCGTTAATTTGTGACAGTACTACTGCATTATCCAAATTCTTTGTTATTGGAGACAGTTGACAAGTCAAGTGGAAGTTAGGGTTATATTTCAGTACGTTTGCCCAAGGAATTAGACCTGTTTTTCTCACCAAGTCCCCATTCGCCTCAGTGTTCTGGGACTAATGTATTCTTCAGAATGCTTTTAAATGAAATCACAAACTAAAATCAATTATAGCCAACTAATGGAGGGCTGGCCAGATGTTTGATGCCCTGCATTGTTATAAGGAGATCAGACCTTTGGTTCCTTGAACTGTTGGGGCTGGATGTACTTCTGAGAGAGGGTTCATTCAACTTCAGGTTGTAGAAAAGATAGGCTGTGTATAGAAAAATTACAGTTATTATAATTTGATGTTAGATGGTAGGGCTGACTGGTCCTTGTCAGTTTATCGTTGGCATAGAGACAGTTATCCCTAATAAAGGTAGCTTGTTATGGGGGGCAGAGGCTGAATAATGGGGATCTGGGATGAGAGAGAACAGAATTGGTGGCCACTGTTCTGTGGCTTGTAGTAAAAGTAAATACATAATCTGGGTTAAGGGAAGAGACTAGTTAACATCCCCCCAATCCCTCAGTTTAAGGCACTGGTGATTGTGATAGGCAGAGTAATCATGTACATTTTATTAGAGAATCTTTTTAATGTAGATTAAATTTGTTCTGAATATTTAAAACTATCCTTTGAGTTTTACACACATTGCTGAGTTATAGCTGTACGTGTGCCGGCTGTACTATAAGCCTGTTCTTTGACAAGATTTTTTTAATTACTTGTGGTAGATTGTGACTAAAAACCTTAAACTTAAACTTTCAACCAATGTGTCGGGGATTTGCATTTCCCAACTCTATTCCAGTCCTGAGAGGCCCAGACAAAAAAAGAACAGCATGTCTTTGAACACATGCAAGTTAGGCATTGTGCGAGTTTCAGACAGGGGACTTCATGGAGCTGAGTGGACACAAAGACATGTGTCTGAGTTTCTGAATCCCAGACAGTGTGATCTGCATTTTAATAGAAGAAAAATCAATTAAACAATCTTTGTAAATCCTCCCTAGCTTTAGGGCTAAGCTAGTTCTGGTTTATTACATCTTTTATGATCCTGCATCCTGAGGATAAAATTCTGTTTTTCTTCTTTCCAATCCCCCCCCCCCTTTTTTTTTGGTATGTTTGTGTGTTAAAGACAAATATGATGATTTTTTTTTTCTCAGAATGCAGTGACTTTCTAATATGTTCACTCGGTCTTGAAAGCTAAATTATTGCTTACGTTTGGTAAAATATGGATATCTTGAAACTAGTCACTGCAGCATTTGAATAGTGCTAAGACTTTTAATTGTTTTGTGCTTTTGTATGCACAGGGAAAGGCTGATCCTATAAATAAGATTATAGGACAGAAATTAGACACTAGACCATGTGTATATATGCCTTTTAAGAGTAGTAACTTAGACTCTGATATGTATTTTTTTTCCAAAATGCGTATTTTTGTTTAATGTCTTGAAACTTCATTTAAAAACCTGCTTTCTATGAAATAGAGGACTGATGTCCATGTATATAGAACACTCTGTATGTACTAAATTGTTTGAATATTTAATGTTTGGATTTTTTTAGTTTCTCACTTTGCGTGAGAGGTGAAGGCAAAGTTTCATTCAAGGGAGCTTTAAAAAAACAACATTGACATAATTTTCCTGTTTACTTAAACATACTGGCTTTTTCCCTGGTATAAAAGTCTGTTTTCTGTACAGATCAGCTTAGACACAGGTGTGCCCTATGGACTGTGAAGCTAATTGGCTCCTGGATCCATCCCATTGAAGTGTTTCTGGCTGAGCTGGAGGACGAGAAGAAGGGTCAGAGTGCGTTTTGACATTACTAGGGACAATTGCTGTCAGCGTGTCTAGACAGACCTGATAAGGATATTAAAGGCTCACAAAGAGGTCCATTGTTGAGGGGTCAGGGAATGGGTCAAACATGTTTTTTTTTTTTATTTGTCAGGTATACAAGGCTGTAGATAATAAGTTGTCTGGGGGCCAAAGGACATTTTTATTATTGAATAGAAGCGTGTATGTGCTATCTGGTAAAATGTTAGTTGTGAATTTGTAAAACTACATTTAATAGAAATGCGGATAGAGAGCAGAGAAGTTGGCCTTTAAATGCTTCCAGCTGCAAGTTACCGCCTGGAGCATTCAGTCTAACATGTAGGGTTGAGTGAGAGGTGCAGTATGGCACATCTCATAATTGTTGAGACTCAGCGTCTAGTACCTTTCCATACTCTTAGAGAGAATTCCTAGGTGTTAGATAGAAGATAGACTTATTTCAGTATTTCTTTAATATTCTGTAATTACTTATTTCATTGATGCACCAAGTAAAATACCTAAAATTTTGAAAGTAGATTAGTGTAAAGATGTGATGAAACATTACTTAACATCCGTCTCTAGTAACTAATGTCTGCATGCTTCAGACGCTAATCAATACAACAAACCTTGAATATCAGACTTGCCCTCAAAGCTACAGCAAGTGATTTATCACTGTTCTTGCTCAGACTTTCATGGACCAGCAGGTCTGACTCTTATCTTTTCTGGCTCTGTTAGTAATCTTGTTTGGCAGCCGGGGGGAGGCGCAGTGTCAGTCTGTCCATCCATACAAGCGTAAATTTTCTCCATGTGCCTAGAACTCCAATAAAGGAAGAGACAGCATTGATAACTAGAGAGAAACTAGGGTGACGTTAAATGTTGACAGTCAGGTTACAATATAGGGGAAATACTGCTTTATAATACAGCAGTCTCTCTATAAACTTCACAGTTAATGTTTACACTAGCTTCCTATTACTGGCCAGATGATTCAAATGCTTCTCGACCCACGTTTTCCCAAAGAAACCAATCTACCTGAAATTTTACATGCTTCATCTCGTTCCCTCGTTAGAATTTTTCTGGAATGTTTGGTAATGATCAGAAAAGGAGTTGTAAAGTTAAGGAGCTTTGAAAACTTTCCTAAGGTATTATGGCTCACGTCTCTAAAATGGCTTGGCCTAAAAAGTCCAGGAAGAGTTTAGAGCTTCATAAGAGCTGTCAGAGTAGCACTTCCCTGCTGGGGGCCCTATATGCTAAGGTGCTCACTCAAAAACCCTTATTAAAGAGTTTGGTTAAGACCCAAACAATATTGCTGTCTTTATTTAAAAGAAACCCGACATTTTAATGTTGGTTTTTTTAAGTGTAGAAATAAACAAGGTATCCAGCCTGCTCCTTGCTGACATATAATCCTTCATTCACTTTACCTGGCCCAGTTTACACAGTTTTCTCAAGCACAGCTTTGCTCTTGAAAACTTGCAAGAAATATTCAAGGATTAAGATGAATTACTAGGCATTGTTGAAAACAGGATTTTATAATCTCAGTAATTTATCTTTAACTTTGTGTATATTTTTGCAAATTTTAGGGGCAAAGCTGTTTGAGTGGACTGTGTAAATTAATGGGTTGTTTCCAGAGATATTAATGTTTGGGTTTTTTACGAAGTGTTGAACTTTTTGAAAGTAATATTTGTTTGAGTGTTAGAGACCGCACTGAAACACGCGTTTAGCCTTAATGCTTTTACTTTCTGTCTGTCTGTCTGAAAATAATTCCTTGTATACACGCGATTCAGTCGGCGGAGAAGGTTAACTTTTGTTTAAATGGCAGGAAGCAAAGGGCCATGATTTTAAAAGCAGTTAACAATTTTTAGCTTCCCACAAGAGGCACCATCTAAATGGGACTTGTTTCAAGAATACTCTGACCACTCACCCTCTTGCCCATTTAAGGGATTTCAAGTCAGGCACACAGAATCGATATTCACTTGTGAAAGTCTGGGCCAGCAGTCTTATTCAAAGCATGTTTTAGACCTAGCCCAAAATGTGACAGCAGCGTGAGTGCATAGAAAAAGTGTTTTTAAAAAGCGCACACTTCATAAAATGGAAAAGTTTGCAATTATACTTGGGGAACAAAAGAGATTTTTTTTTAAAGTACCCTACAGAATAAGGCCTGGAACCTCCACAAGGGTCTGCCCTCATTGCTCTGATTGCAGCATCAGGAACTAAAACAGCAAAAGAGAGTAAAAGGTTTTGGAGACTGAAACTGCTAAATATGTTCTTGTATAGTTATCCTTAAATGTGTAACCCATCTGTTTGAGAGCAGGTTGGTGTAAGAACAACAGTGTGGACTCCTGAAAACAATTAAAATAATAGCTCTTGGACTGTGAGTTGAAACTTATTTTCTTGACATGTAACTCCTACTCTGACACTAATTAGAGTTAGCAGTATAAGATCTTGGCAAGAGTAGAATTGCACTCTTTAATTGATACCCATCTGCAGAAAAGCACAGGAATAGATGTTTTTAACTGTGTATCAACTTTTGAAAATCTAAGGACCTAAAAAGTCAGTAATCTTTCCATGCAAAATACAGGATCAGCGATTAAAAACAGATGTGGTACAAAGTATCTCACTACTTGTAATTGTGTTCCAAAAGAAATACACTGGTCACCTCATTCTTGGGCTGGTGGAGGAGGAAGAAGGACCTAGAGCTAAAGTTCTGGGATGCTGATGACTTGTCTGTCTGTCCTCTTGTTATTTAAGAGCAATGGGTAACATTATCAAAAGTGCCTAAACCTGTGTCCTTAGGGGAAAGATGTGTATTCTTAACTCTAGCTAACGAGATAAAGTCCCAGTACTGACAAGGCAGCTTGTAGACAGGTTTCAGAGTGGTAACCGTGTTAGTCTGTATCAGCAAAAACACAGAGGAGTCCTTGTGGCACTTTATTAGTCTCTAAAGTGCCACAAGGACTCCTTGTTGTTAAGGCAGCTTGTAGTTACCCTTCAACTCAGGTGGGAACTCATGCAAACTACAAACTATCTTGTCTGCACTAGTTTTGTTCCTCGAGGTAGCTAACTTGAGTTACGAGCACTGACTTTTTCCAAATGGAGATGCTGCCTAAGTCCTACTGAAAGTCAGTTGGATTCTGAAGACCCTTAGCAGCTTCTGAAAATGCTCCCCAGTGTAATCTGTGGTAAGGCTCCTAAACCCAACGTACAGTATAGGTTTGGAGCTCAGCTTTTGAGCTTGCTTATGTAAATCTCTGCCTTTTTTCAGAGGCTTCAAATCTTGTGTGTGTTTCCCTCCCTACAGTTCTCAGGATGTTTGGGGTTTGAGGGCTCTGGAATTGATGGTTTCACTTCTGATGAGCCAGTTCCATTCTGGGCTAAACTGTTAAAGTCTGACATACCATATGAGCAAGCACCTGACTGAAATCTTGCTGGTAAGACTGGAATGCATCAAAACAGAGGTGACCGCAGAAGAGCAAGAGAGAAAAGAGGCCCAACTAGTGTGTTTGGCAATTGACCATAGAGTAAACTAGATGAATGGAGATACTGCGTTATGAAAAATTTCCACTATAAAAGTAATCCTACAACTATGAGAGCTGGAAAACAGGCAAGACCTTATGCTGGGTTTGGAGAGAATTTTCAGTACAAGCGGTATTGAAACAATACTATTCTCTATTCTTTCTTCTTTCATTGAAGCATTCATCCTCCCCCTTCCCTAATTAACCTCAAAGAAGTCTCTGGCCAGGGGTCCAACTGGCAGTTGCAGAGTTTCCCCCAAAGGTTTAAAAGAAACTAGCCCGAGCACACTTTTATTTTCTATTCTTATGAATCCCCTTGGAAAACATCTAACTTCAACTTGATAGTGTCTTAAACTACAAGAATGTAGGCTGAACATTATGCTACCAAATAAATGCAACTTCTGGGGTGCATGGTGATACCTTGCACTACCTGCATACTCCACCCTTTACTAAAATATTGGGTGAACTGGAAACAATACAGATTTCAGATGTGAGGATTCCTTCCAAACCCCCTCATCCTTTTGATTCACCTAATGAATAGTGCAAGTGTTAATGCTCAATGCCCACTCCTCATGGCACCAAACTCAGAAAAGCGCCTCTGCTAGGGCATAATCGGTGACTACACAGGAACTGCTGGAATTGACACCGATAGAACAGCTTCAGAATAACGTACGGAATCCATGCTGGTGGTGCGACTTCTGCCTTCCTGGCCCTGGCTTTGGATGCCACTGAACACTCTGGAAATGGGCCGAGCTTCCAAAGGAATTTCACAGCTGCCTAGATCAAGAGAACACAACTCATTGATCTGCCTTAATGAAACCAAACACAACTCCAATGGAAAAGTTTAGTAACCACCTGCTCTTTGAGGGAACACTCCCTCGAAGAGACAGGCTCAGTATCCCATGCTCCATTGAGGTACTGGAGAAAAGACACTAAGGCAAACTGGGACCCCTTTACCCGCGCTGGCCACATATACGTTGGAAAGAAGAAACAAGTGGAGAGAGCCTAGTGTCGAAGAAAAACCCATTTGTCCCTTCTAAACCGGAGAAGCTGCTCAAGGCCTCTTTAGCCAGGTAATACTAAGACCCTGTAATGCTGTTGGGGTCAGCAAGGCCAGTGGTGACCTGCAGAGTAAGTGCAAATCACAAGGTAAAGAGAAGCTTGGGGGCAACTTGAACTTGCACACTCAGCTTCTCCAAGGTTTTCAACTAACGGTTAGAAAAAAGTAACTTGCTAGCTGGGGCTTGTTGCCTTCTCCTAGATGTGCACAATCATCTCTTGTGTACCTGACAAGCCTACTCTGAGGAACACTAAATTATCCATTTCCATCCCTGCCCCAAATTTCTAATGTCCTGGACGTTTTGCATAGAGCCACTTCTGTGTATCACTTTGGAAATAACTAAGACCAGACTAGCGCCCCGATTCTCTGCTGATTGAATTGAGACGGTTTTAGTATCGACAGAGTTCCCAATGTATGTCTTCAGTCAGCATGGATCTCTCACTTAACCAATTGTATACACAGGAAGAAGCAAGCAATGACCTGCAAGAGGTGCAATAGATCCCTACAGCCCTTTGGAGTATTGTTTGGCACAAAGCCAGTGATCTTCAACTCTGTGAATGTCTATATGTGATAAAACTGTATTCTTTATTTGTATTACCATAGCACCTTGGAGCCCTAGTCATGGACCAGGATCCTGTGGTGCTAGGCGCTGTACACACACAGGACCCACAGGAGTTTACAATCCAACTCTAAGACAAGAGACGACAGATGGATACAGACACGCTGGGAGTACAAATAAAGAATGAGTGTGAGTGTTGCTTATGAACAGTTGTTGCACTTCACCCTGTAGCTGTCCTGGCTATCTGGGTTTCCAACTTTCATAATACCCCGAGGTAAATGATCAAGGCTGTATTTCTAAGCCTTAATATTTAAAATCACCAAAGTCAGTCCCTTTCTTCCTTTAGTAGTTCACTAAGCATGTGGAAGATGCAGTTACCCTGTGCACTTGCATACAAGTTTTAATACTGATATCTTAATACATGAATAAAGAATTCAATGAAGTGGTGCAACTTTGAAGAATCAGTTATTACTAGGATGTTGCAAAAAGTAGCCATAAATTATAGTGCCGTATTACTCTCTCCCAAACTACTAAAGCCTCCATGTACTAAGCTGCTCTTGGGGGGGGCCTCATTGAGTTGCTCCCACAGGTTTAGTGTCTTTGTGCTTCAAACCAAGTAGTGTGGTACTCAAAAAAATTCTCCCTGCCTCTGGGCATTTGGGAAGGTTAGTGTGTCTCTGGTGTCTGGATTTAGTTACAGTCTGCTGTCTGGCTTCTGTTTGTCTGATTAAGATTGTCATAGGACAGAAAGTTTTGACTACAGCAGAAAGTCTAGTCCTGCATTTGAATAAATAGATTAAATTCAACTGAATTTAATGTTTTATTTTAGAATATTTATTTCACCTTGCAGATGAGTGAGGGTCTCACTTTTTTTTAAAAAATATTTAAGCAGTCACTTTATTTTGCTGCACCGAGGGTATAAACCAGGGGTTCTCAAACTGGGGGTCGGGACCCCTCAGAGGGTTGCGAGGTTATTATATGGAGGGTCGCGAGCTGTCAGCCTCCACCCCAAACCATGCTTTGCCTCCAGCATTTATAATGGTGTTAAATAGATACACATTAAAAACCCTTTTGTAAGGGGGGTCACACTCAGAGGCTTTGTGTGAAAGGGGTCACCAGTACAAAAGTCTGAGAACCCCTGGTATAAATTCTGTAAAATTTCATGACTGCATACATGTTTGTATTCTGGGCCATTAATCTTGGCTAAAATTATAATCCAATTACTCTAAATTCAGAAGCCGGGACTCTAGCCAGCTGTCCAGTTCAGCAATAATGCTGATTCTCTGTGGGTTTGTGGAAATATAATTTCATTGATTTGCAGTAAACCTACAAATCCTACAGAAGTATGGAAAACACCCTTCTGCGCGCTCCTAAAACTAATTCCATAGCCAGCAGATGGAACTCCTTTTGTTTAAAAACGCATTTCAGTGCGTTGTCGTCTTTTTTGAATTGCACACTTTGTATGTGGAAAAACCAATTCATTTTTGTAGTGCCCAGATAAGCACAAAGCAACCACTTTTATTTGCTGAACTCCAATACTCCTCCCACACACAACCCAAAATGCACAACTTTGATATGGAGAGAAGTGAACACCACAACGGTAGTCAGTGAAGTCACATTCTACCTTTGCATTTCAAAAACAGTTAAATAACCACCATGGTTAGAATGCTTTTGAACATGTTCCCTTATGAGTAAAGGGATATTCACTGTAGCTTCTGGGGAACTCCAACTCTACCAGCCGCTCAGATTCCTGTTTAAAATATGTATACGTCCCACAACACAAACACTGTGTAGCTGTCTTAAGCAAACCTGTATAAAATTCAGTGCAACGAGCCAAAAGCTGTGCAAATCGTGATGTTTATTCTTTTTATAAACATGTCAAAAGGGATACACTTACAATGCACTAAATGATGAAATAAATGGACTTAATACTCACTTATCCTAATATTTTATTTAATCTATCAAACCAAAATATATTGAAACAGCAGGGCCCTCTGAAACAATACCTGTTAAAGCAAAAGGGTTATTAAAGTGTTGGTGCAATCAGGATATCGGTTTTTATGGGTTCTCTATTGTCCCAAACAATGTTGGGACAAACATGACAACATCCTTTCAGGCCACTCGGTATCCAGATGATGATCAGAGGAGGAGGATGGCTTTGTCTTTAAAACTCTGCTAGGTGTCCAGTGAATTGGATTCTACTTAGCATGCTAAGTGAATTGCTCAAGGTTGCGTATTGCTGCATGAGTTTTCCAGTCTGTAAAATGGGGACCTTACTTCCCTTCCACGTGTCACAGGTGGGTTTGTGAGACTGAATTAACAGTTAGTAAAGTGCTGGGACCCTTGAGTGAAAGATGCTGTAGAAGTACAAGCAAAACATTACTTAAAGTGGTCCCATGGCCCAGGTCTGGATACATATAGAGGAGTCATATACCAAGAGGATGGGCATACACCTTGTCTGTTTGCCTTGGAGTAACACTAATTGTTGTCATACCCACTGATTGAATGGGGGGGTCTGTATGTAGCCCTTCATGCTTATGGGAGGGGGACGGTGGAAATTTAATGCACACTAACACTTGTTGTATGTGTATTGATTGGTTAGGCGCCTGTGGGATGTGTGTTTTACAGCTCTCGCTTAGTGGACTGGGGGAAAGATACGTACCTGAAATCCTAAAGTAAATGACAATTGTTTCCTTCAAGTGTTGAATGTCCGTGTGTGGCTCAAGCCATGTGTCTTATGCTCCAAGATTTTATTTTTAAATGCTCCTAAAGGGTATATTCTCTGTTGTTGTGCCGTCTAATCCTACTGCACAAAGTGACCAGTTTCCCACTTGTATTATTTAATTTAATCATCTGGGAAACTAGTTCCTGTCGCATTTAGCCACAATGCTCTTAAGTTTTCTGCTTGTCTTGCTCTGATGGCTTGGGACACTGCTTCCCAGTGCAGCAGGATATATTTCCTAGCTAGCTATCTTCTCTTGAACTGAACATTCTCTACTTTAACACAGTATCATTTTAGCTAGTGATAAGCATGCCACAGAACTGCCACTTTCACTTTTGTGTAGGAAAAAATGTGGTGCTGGATGTTTTTCCAGCTGAAATTCAGTTAGTGTCCAAATATTTAAAATAGTCAGAGGGGACTCTTTTAGCCAATATTTTTAAAAGAGGACGTGACTTATTGCAGTATTTGAATCAGAAATTAAAAGTTGCTGTTGCAACATTAAGTACAAATATGCTGGATAGTACAGTAGAGGTAAAGCCATCAAATGAAACTCCTTTTCCATTTTAGAGTTGAAGGCTGTATTTTTGATCCTGCCAAAGTGAAAGTAAAACCCACAAATATACTGAGTAATCTGTGCTGATGCGGCTTCAGTCCTCCATATGAGGAGTTTTGTAATTCCCTATAAAGATTAACAAAAAGGCAATCTGCCTGCTGCTACTTTTAGCTAGAGATGAGAGTTGCTGATCTTTTTACATGCAGGCAAGCATGAAAACTTGCATATTCTTTCTTCCTATGTAGGATGACCAGAAAGGCTTAGACTTCTTCTGTGAAGAGAATTATCTGTGGTGCTTTCCATGTATAACACAAACCACTTGAAAGAAGCAAGATGTCATTACATATTCTTTAAAATAATATAGCTAAGAAAAATGGCACAGACATGAAGTTGATTTTTTGATGTGAGGCACTGTCTGCAACCTTTCCAGGTTTAACTAAGGAATGTAACTTTCTGTATGATAAACGGTCCTATCCGTGGATTTTTAATATTCTTTTCTCACTGTCCCCTGAGCCCAGTTGTGGCTGCTTTCCCCTGCCCAGCTCACTGCTATGGAGAGAGCCTCTCCTCGGGGCAGGTGCAAGGCTTGCTCGGGAATGCTGCGTCACTTCTAAAAACGGCCAGCAGAGGAGGAATAGAAATGTCATTTCTTTTCTCTCACTTTAACTTGGGAGGAGAACCACCATGAGGTTTCCAGTCCCCATCTGTCCAGAGGCAAGGAAGCCAGTCTGAGCTCTCTCCTGCAGGATAGCATAAAGCACACTTGAAGGCTGGCCCAGCAATAGACTTTCCAGCATAAATGTCTGATCTCTTGATATTTACTTTTTTTCCTGTTCTTAGGAGCTGGAGAAGCTGGGCTTGGGAGATGGTGTGGATCTGTATGTATATGAAATCCCAGTTGAATACCAAACAGTACAAAGACTAATTCCCGCATTGTGGAAAAAACACAGTCCACAAGTGAGTAAAATGCAAAGCAAGATGGAACAGATGATAGTAAACTGATGGATCCTTACAACCATGGGCTGATGTTCCTAATGCAAAGTCAGACTTCTGATGTATGATTAAAATGTTGATGATTTGACAGATCTTTCCTTTTGACAGAAACTTGTGAATTTGGACAATTATACAGCTTAAAATAACTAGAGACCTGGTTAGTAGTGTCAGTTCCCGAATCCCTGCACCATTGATGTCTACATGGCCTCCTCGAGGGTGGCCCGCTTTGGTCTCAAGCCGTCACTGTTCTCAGGGTGGAATTCTGCAATCTGCTCCTGGGCTGCAGATCCTTGCAATTCATTAATCACCTCCACAGATCTGACTTCAGCTCGTCATTTGCAGTTCCATTCTCTCAAGGGCAATGACAAAGCGATCCAGTGATTAGCCAGCTTTCATAAAGCCAAGTACTGTTTGTTCAGAACGAAATCATTTTGGAGAAAACACATCTGAAAAACAAACCGGTTATATGCATGCCTGCCCTACCAGGTGATCACCCATCTTTCACATGGAAGGCCTAGTATCAGAGGGGGAGACGTGTTAGTCTGGATCTGTAAAAAGCAACAGAGTCCTGTGGCACCTTTAAGACTGACAGACGTATAGGAGCATGAGCTTTCGTGGGTGAATGCCCACTTCGTCAGATGCATGTAATGGAAATTTCTAGGGGCAGGTATAAATATGCTGGCAAGAATCAGTCTGGAGATAATGAG